AAATTTTTTTTAAGAATTACTTTATCTTTATTTATCCACTTATTTATTTTTTAATTTGACCAGGGAGGGACAGAGTGAGAGAGAGAGAGGGAAAGTGAGAAAGCAAGCCACCAGGTTCAGGACTTTAACCACAGTCAGCCAGGTGGGAGTCCAGCATTCTTAACTACCACCCCAACTTCTCACCCCTATTTTATTTTAATTTGATCAGTGAGAAATAGTATGTGAGAGAGAGAGGGAGAGAAAGGGAAAGTGAGGGGACCAGCAGTTAGCATAATGGCTATGTTGCTGGACTCCCATGTAGCCGACTGCGGTTCAAGTCCTCAACCCAGTGGCTTAAAACTCACGCTGGGTGCGTGTGCATGCGTGCCCAAGATCCCAGTAGGATGGCACAGTAGCTAAGGACACTGGACTCCCACATGGCCGACCACGTCCCAGACCCGGTGGCTTGCTTTCTCAGTTTCTCTCTCTCTCCCCCCCACCATCAAATTAAAATAAATAAATAAACAAACAAACAAATAAATAAAGATAATAAAATAATTCATTTTTAAAAAGGAGGCTCTGTATATCACAGTCATCTGAGAAGCAAATTTGATACCGAACATTGTCAAATCATGACATCACCCCCTTTTCTTGCTCTAACTTCATTCGTGGTGAGTGCCAGGGAAAATTTCTGGGCTTAGACTGATTCCTTCAGTCTGGCTTTTAGCCTTGTAATAAAGTGGTACACTCATGGCTGCATCATGGATTTTTTTTTCCATTTTTTAAAAAAAGAATAATTTCATATATCATTATTATTTCTTAATTTGCCACAGGACACGTGTGCTCACCAAAGACAGAGGAAAGCGAGAAAGCAAGCCACCAGGTCTGGGATTCGAACCACGGTCCACTATGTGGGAGTCTAGTGCCTTAACCACTGTGTCACCTGCTGACCCCTGCACCCATGGATTTCTAAGTGTCTCTAATGGGTAAATGGTAAATGCTGACAGTTATATGGGTAACTGAGTCCTCTGTGACTCTGTTAGTTGTTGAGCAATTGAGATATAACAATGGTAGGTTTAGGCTCCCAATTAGCTCTCAATGTTTCTTTTTTTCTGGAGAAATTTTTGCTATAAGGTACATGTGCTTGCCAGAGAGACAGAGGGAAACAGAGAGACCGAAAGCAAGAAATCACCCCCTCGGGGGGATGAACATGCTGTAGTCACTTCTCTTCCATTCTTCTCTCAGAATTTTGGGCACATACGCACATACACCTGGTGTGTTTCCAAGCCTCCGGGTCTGGGACTCGAACCACGGTCGAGTACGTGGAAGTCCAGCGACATAGCTATTACACTAACTGCTGGCTCCCCTCAATTTATTTTCTGTTTAATGATTCAGAAGACTGTCTAGAAATTTTTGTGTAATATCATGGAATCCTTCACTGAAAGTGTTTGACATTTGAAAAAAACCACCTGCCTAAGATATTTGGAAGGAGGGGGACCAGCAGTTGGCATAATGGCTATGTTGCTGGACTCCCATGCAGTAGACCATGGTTAAAGTTCTGGACCCGGTGGTTTAAACTCACGCTGGGCGTGTGTGCATGCGTGCCCAAGATCCTGAGAGGAGAATAGAGAAGGGATTACAGTGTGGCCATCCCCCATGGGGGGTGATTTCTTGCTTTTTGTCTCTCTGTGTCTTTCTGGCGAGCACATATGCCCTATAGTAAAAACCTCTCCAAAAAAGATATTTGGAAGGGGGAATGGCAGGTGACATGGTGGTTAAGGGTGCTGGACTCCCACATGGCTGACTGCGTTTCCGGTCTTAGACCTGGTGCCTTGCTTTTTCATTTTTTCTCTCTCTCGCTCTGTCCCTCTCTGGACAAATTAAGATAAATAGATAAATAAAAAGTTAAATAAAATACTTCTTAAAAAAAAAAAAAAGGAAGGAGACTCATGTAGGCTTGGCATTGTGCTGGGCACTTACTGAAGAAAGCAGTGAGCTGGGGGGCCTGGGGGCCTACCTGGCTTCTGTTCTCCCAGTGCTGCTGCTACTTTTTTGCTGGGAATGAAGCAGATTTGATAAGATGCATTTTGCGCTCAACAGAAAACTGTCAGCAGAAGAACTAGAGCGAAAACGGCAAGAGATGATGGAAAACGCCAAGTGGCGGGAGGAAGAGAGACTGAACATCCTCCAGAGACACGCAAAGGAAGATGAACGGGAGCAGAGGCTGGCGAAGCTGGACTCGGGGGACGGGAAATTTATCCAGTGAGTGTATCTTCTTGACGGGGGGCTCTCAGAGAGGTGGTCTCCAGAGGCCCCTGGCAGCTGGTTCTTTGTGTTCCTAGTACTCTGTGTGCACGGAGAGAATGCAGAGCTCATGCTAGGGACCGCCTTGTTACTACGCGCAGCTTCTGGCCAGACAGCAGGGTGTTTTTGTTTTGAGGGGAGAAGTAAATTGGTATTACCTCAATCACTGACACTCCTGCCTCGCTTTTTTCCCCTTGGTTTAGTTTTGCTATAAATTGTGTACACTCACCAGAGAGACAGAGAGAGAAAGGGTAGGACCAGCTGACGACGCAATGGTTATGTTGTTGGACTCCTACATAGTTAACCACAGTTTGAATCCCGGACCCAATAGCCTAAAACTTATACCAGGGGCCAGCAGGTGGAGTGATGATTAAGGCACTAGACACTCCCACATGGCTGACCACGGTTTGAGTCTCGTACCTGGTGGCTTGGTTTCTTGCTTTCTCTCTCATCAAATTAAAATGAATGAATGGAGACCAGCAGTTGGCATAATGGCTATGTTGCTGGACTCTCATGTAGTCGACCACGATTTGAGTCCCAGACCCAGGGCTTAAACTCACACTGGGTGCCTGTGCATGTGTGCCCAAGATCCCAAGAGGAGAATGGAGGAGAAGGGATTGCAGCGTGGCCATCCCCCCAAGGGGTGATTTCTTGCTTTCTGTCTCTCTTTCAGGTGAGTTCATGTACCCCATAGCAAACATCTCTCCAAAAAAACACACAAAAGAGAATGAATAAATAAATAAAATCAAATAAATAAATTTAAATAAGTAAATAAAATAAATAAAACTCATACCAGGAGTGTGTGCATGTGTGCCCAAAATCCCAAGAGGAGAATGAAGGAGAAGGGATTGTGGTGTGGCCATTTCCCAAGTGGGTGATTTCTCGCTTTCTATTTCTCTGTCTCTACAGCGAGCCCATGCACTTATAGCAAAAATCTCTAAAAAGAAAAAAAAAAAGAAGTGAGAGAAAGGGAAAGTGAGAAATCAGGGGAAATGGCCACATAATCCCTTCTCCATTGTCCTCAGGATCTGGGGCATGCATGCACATGCACCCACCATGTTTTTCAAACTGTGAGGTCCAGGACCCAGACCGCTAAGTCAACTATATGGTATTCAGCTGCCTTAACCTCCTGGTCACCTGCTGGTCCCTGGCTATGCTCTTAAATAAGAATTCATGTCTCTGGAAGCCTTTTTGTCCACTGAGGTTTTGGTTTACTTTCCAAAACAGATAAACACATTTTTTTTTTGTGGACACTGATTTAAAAAAATGTGGTTTCATATGTTGTCACTTAAATCTTATCAGTGTGGTTTAAAAGAGCTTGTGTTTCTACAGCTGCTTTATGGCTAGCATGTTTTTTTGATTCTGCCAGATAGTTGACTGACGGAAAATATTTTCAACTTCCATTTACTCATCTTCTCTTTCCAGCCGCATGAAGCTAGAGAGTGCATCTACTTCCTCCCTGGAGGATCGAGTGAAGCGGAACATCTACTCTCTGCAGAGAACTTCAGTTGCTCTGGAGAAGAACTTCATGAAAAGATGAAAACTGTCCCCTTTCTTCCTGGTTTCCCTGAATTTTCCAGGGAGGCTGTTTGTTGACCCCTTACAAATTCTCTTCATAAGAGTTCAAATGACTTCTTGCAGAGATGTCAGACTACCACTGTTCAAAGTGACCCTCCTCCATCAATGCCTGCTACAGCTTACATCTTTAGAGGACCCACATGACTGACTTGTAGGACTCAGAGCTTTTGCTCAGCGTAGAGCGGGTTTGGACGGTGTGTTTGGGTGGATGCTGTACCATCTCGGTGTGAGTACTCCTACTGCTTTGAAAGCCTGCTCCCCAGGGTTGCGATACTGACCATGCCACGTCCTCCCACCTCTGTGAACAGACATATCCTGCTGCCTCAGTAAAGATCAGACCTTTCAGAAACTTCTCTCTCCAGCGTCACCCAGATCATGCTTCCTGCAATAAATGAACATTTACTTGGTTTAGTAGCTAATGTGACAGAATGATGTCAGGTTAGGTAGGCCAGAGCCTGGGGAGTGACAAAGAATCTGGAAGAAGAAACAATACAAAAAGCCCTAAATGAACCACTATTTGGTCTTTGGAACTGTCAAAGTGTAATATGTATATGTACAAATGTAAAATTTTTACATGCCTTTAAAGAAGAATTAGCTTTGTAGAATGTCTTGTTTGGTAAATGACTTTATTATGTGATAGAACCACACTGAACCTCATGAGCAAATAACACCACGAGGAATGTCGGCTCATTTTTCTCCTGAACCTGGCTGGGTTTATTAAGAGGACCTGGGGTTTCTATCCTCTGCTGCTTAGTCTCCAATGTAGGTAGTGTAGTGGTGCCATTAAATTTTAGGAGTCAGAATGCTCCTGGCTCCTAAAATAAAATAGAAGCTATTTATCTCATGGTGACTTTTTTATCTTGTACAAACAGTACTGTAGTTATAGATTTTCAGGAATTGTTACTATTTTTCAGTCAGACATTAAACAAAAAACTCTTGAGGGACCATTTTCTCCTGTTTCTACTTCTTTATTCTTTCACCAGTCCTTATTCGACTAATGAACTAGCTTTTTTTTTTTTTTTTTTTTAAGGTTTTTGCCATAGAACATTTGCACTTGGAAACCAGCAGTTAGTGTAATGGCTATGTCGCTGGACTCCCACGTAGTTGACCGCGGTTCGTGTCCCGGACCCGGTGGCTTAAAACTCTCACCGGGCGCATGTGCGTGCGTGCCCAAGATCCCGAGAGGAGAATGGAGGAGAACGGATTGTGGCGTGACCATCCCCCCTGGGGGGGGATTTCTCACTTTTTGTCTCTATGTCTCTCTCTGTCTGTCGGGTGAGCACACGCGCCCTATAGCGAAAACCTCTCAAAAAAAGAAAAAAGAACATGTGCCTTTGCTGGAGAGGAGACAGATAATGAGAGGGAAAGTGAGGAATCGCCTCCTAGTGGGGATGGCTATTCTATTTTTTTTTTTTTTTAGAGAAATTTGCTATTCTGTAATCCCTTCTCCATTCTCCTGGGACATCCCTCCCCTCCCCACTCCCCATGCAGCTGACCAGGACTTGAATCATCATAGGCTATGTGGAAGTCCAGCACCCTAACCACCATGCCACCTGCTGGTCCCATTCCTAGCACTCTTGAATCACATATTAACTAGGTTTTTTCCCTTGCTCTGCTAATTCCCCATTCTGTGCAAAACGTATTTGGATTTATATTTTTGAGCACTTATAATGCCAAGCGCCATAAAGCTTAATCCCCAGGGTCTACCCAGAGAGAAGGCAACAACTGTTACTCATTTAATCACCTTCTTGCTATGCTAGTGTCAATTATGTTTATTTTATTACTTAGTAATAAAGGCTACATTTATTTTTGTAACTGTTTAAAGGGTAACCACGTGCGAAGTAGAGTTAACCAATTCCCATACAGAACAATGTTGACCTGTAATTTGTATCGAACATGTGGAGATCCTTCGTCTGAGAGGAATTATGTAACAAAGCGGG